ACGATGGCTGCCATATTGTGAAATTTAAAACCTGATACTAATAACTTTGCCACTGAATCATAGATGGCATAATATATCACTCATTTATTTTAAAAAGGTTTACACAAAATGATCTTCTTATTTTTAGGATGTAAAGTGTGTCAACTACCGGTATACTTTTTCCAAAGTCAATTTTCCAAGTGGCGGCTTTTGAGCTTCTTTGATGCAAATGCCGACCATTGGCGTGGAAATTAAGAAAAGGGATCAGTTCATCAAACGCATATTTCAAGAAAAATCATAATTTTTATTAATTTTTACATAATTATATTCAGGAAAATTTTTTTTACAGAACAATTTTTTAAACAAATTCAAAATATCACCTTTTGTGCTCCAAAAAATATTTTTTAGGTTTTTGGATGACTCTAAATAAGATCTATGTCATTTTTCTCAAAAGTTAATAGTTTTGGAGATATAGGCGATTTAAAATCCGAAAAATGCGATACCTAATATGCATTTTCGAGGCTTGAAAAATATGTAAATGAGTATTTTTGAGATTCAAGAGTATTTAAACTAAAGTCTCGACATTGATTTTGGTGAGAAATTGGGGTAATATTTTCCGTAGCAGAAAAAGGAGATCTTTTGAATTTGAATTGTTTCCTGCAAAAATGTCCGGCACCCTTCAACCTTCGATTTGTTTAAACGCGGTATTTTTGAATAGGAATCTTCAAAGGACAGAATCAGTTTTTTTTTTCAAATGTGAGCGGGCTCACAACATCTAATAAATAACAAATTAATTCTTTCAAATTAAAGCTTGTTAATTTTAGTGATTTATAAGAATATTGGACTTATTATTTAGTTTTTACATAAACCATAATATTTTTTTACAATTATCTGTAAATAATGGTTCATTCTGTCAGAAAATTTTAAAAGATTGTCTATCCAGCAAGGACAGAAAATCTCAAAATATTGTCTGTCCAGCAAGGACCACGAGGAGGTATGAGCCTTCCTTGCCAGGAAAGGAAAGGGTTAGGTATGTTAGTAAGAATATAAAGTTAGTTTTTTTTTCATTTTGTTTTTATTATTTTTTTTTTGTTTTTATATTTTTTTTTGTTTTTTGTTTTTTTTTTGTTCTGACTCTATACAGTGTGTCGCATTTAAGATGAAGATACCCCTATATTTCGGCTATTAGAATAAATACCAATTTGAAATTTTGCACAGTCATACAGGTTGTCAATTCACATTTTTTAAGATAATCAACTGAAATTTAATTTTTAAACACGGCCTACTGTTAATGCACAAACAGAGTGAATCTTCAATATTTTGCTTCGAGTTAGAGATATCGGAAAAAGTTATTTGGAAAAGATGTTCCAAATATTATTATAACCCCACATAACAAAGTTTTATGTCAAAATTCGCACTTTTACTTTTTTCATTAATTGAAGAGCTTATTTCCAGTGTCTTAAATCCAAAATTTCGATTTTTTTAATTTTCTTTTTTTAAACTTTATAGATTTCTTCAAGTCTAAAATAAAGTTATATGTACCAAAACAACTTCTTATTTGCCATTTAAAAGTGCATATGAAAATTGTAAAATTGTATAATTTGTATGTTAAATTTGTATGAAAATCTGTAATTTCATGGATTTCATTATATGGATTTAAGACACTTTGGAAATAAGCTCTTCAATTGTAGTCAGGATTCTAAAACGGACAGTTGGCTGTCCCGAGATGCATCTTTAGACAGCCAATTGTAGATTTAGGATCGAGATTACAAATAATACTGAAAAACTAAAATTGCGAATTTTGTCATGAATTTTGGAATGTGCGGTTACAATAAGTGGAATAACTTTTCCAAATAAGTTTTTCCGATTTCTCTAACGCGAAGCAAAATATCGAAAATTTACCCTGTTTGTGGATTCGCAGTAAGCCGCGTTTAAAATTTAAATTTCAGATAACTAACTATCTTAAAAATATGTGCACTATCAACATGTATGACTGCAAAATTTCTAATCTGTATGTATTTTGATAGCTGATATATAGAGGTGTCTTCATCTTAAATGCGACACACTGTATAATAATGAATACTAGTGTTCAAGATGCATCGCGATAGCTGTAAAGAAATTAATTAGAAGGACTAAAAAGAATCGTCAGAGTCTTCTGAAGTCGAATCGTTCCCAGGTTGTATAACTATTGGTGCTATTGCCGGTAAAACAGGATATTCATTTTCTATTTTTACAACATGAGCTTCGCAACTTTTCCACACATCGCTATTAATGCCACTAATTACTTCTCGAATATTCTCAATGGCCACTGCGCTTAATGTTGGTGACTGATTATATTTTCGCAATCGTTTTTTTACGGTACCCCAAACCATTTCAATTGGATTAAAAATGCAATAGTATGGAGGTAATCGCAAAAGAGTATGGCCGTGCCTGCTGCAAATGGTGTCAATAACGTATTCGTTTTTGAAATTCCGACTTTTGATCATTCTAATTAATTCTTTTTTTACTGGAATCTTTTTAGGAACAGTGATATTTTTAAGTTCCATAAATTTTAAAATTTCGTCCTTTTTCGTGTTATTATTAGGTATTTTATTTAATATGCGGGAATGATACGACGCATTATCCATAACAATCACTGAATTCGGCGGAATATTGGGCAAGAGTTGTTCAACAAACCACTTTTCAAATAAATCGGCTGTCATATCTTCGTGATAATCGGCAGAAGACTTTGTTATATTTTTGGCCGACAATAGCAATGCATTAGATACAAAACCATCTTTGCTTCCGGCATGAAGAATAATAACACGTTTTCCTCGTGAACAGGGTGTATTTAATGCACACTTGTTTGTGTTGTCAACCCAGCCGTACTTGACAACATCATGCGTATCGAACCAGGTTTCATCTAAATAGATTATGTTTCTGTTTGAATTACGATACTGTTTTATTTTACTCAAATACTCTCGTCGAAGTTCAACAATACGCCGAGATTCCATTATTACCATTCGATTATCTAATTTCTTATATTTAAATCCACAACTTATCAAAATCTCGCGCAGTGTTTCCAAAGATGTATAATTATATTCAGGGAAATCTCTCAATTTTTCACGAATCAGTTCTAAAGTAGGCACTCTATTTTCTTTGTAAAAATTGTAAACTGTTCGCTGAATAACGTCTTTTGCAGCAGTGTCAATCCTACCCAATTTTTTATTTGGTCGCTTTCGTTTTAAGGAATGATCTGTAACAATGCCTAATTTAATAATTGTATATATCGTCTTATACCCGATTTTTGTTAATACATGAATTCTCGAAACAATTGCATTATCAGCCATCAAAATATTTTCTTTTTTCAAACACTCATACATATTTAAAACTATTCTTTGGGATTGTACGTGCAAATCTTTATTTTTTAATTCGGGGCTGTCATTAACATAATTGTCATTATCTATTGATAACACAGAAGTTGATGCATCTTGATCATTCGTATCAAATGGTCTCCAAAATGCCATCCTAGAAAAATATAATATTACTTACCTTATTATCCGCCTCTGATAGCTGCTTGCAAAATGAACTATTTAGGGTGTCATATAGCCAGACAAACAGGTGTTCCATCAAGATTTATTGCGATGCGCTTCGCTGTTGCCAAGTTTAAAATTATTGAATGTAACTTTAATACCATAATTAATATATCTGCAATTTTTCATGTTTCCAGGTAAGGTATAAAATCAATAAAATTTGGAAAAAAATAATACAATTCTTGAAACCGTTTTTCAGAACTTGGATTCTTAAAAGTTGTCTGATTTCTTAAAAGTCGATCATTATATCTATAAGAGTATTACCGCTAAATTCACCAACATGGCAACGTCGATATAGACCGAACATCGAAATCACCTCGAAATTCTGTCCAGACTACAATGTTGCCGATATTCGAAAATTACTTAGAGTATAAGTTATATATACAAAGTTCACAGTTGCTTTAATTCATTAGTGAAGAGTCCATGGAAATATTAGTACCTAGTTAATTAATTTATATAGATATATTTTTTGAGAATATGTTCATATTATTTTTTAAGAGTGTCGTTCGTTGACTAGCAATTGAATAATAACGAATAGAGAATAGAGAATATTTTTTAAATATAACCTTAGGAATTTTAGGAAATATATCTGACAACCTTGATTTGAAAGGCGGTCTCTTTGAAATCAGAGTGAGGCATATTTATGTTGGAAAATTATTAGTGGATGTACTATACTATGTCAATTATGTGTCATATGTGACATGTGTCAACTACCGGTACTATGTCAATTACCGGTATGTTTGCCTTAATTAATTTGATTTATCTTTTTTAATAATGTTTCTTTATTATTTTGTTTAATGAATAAATATAATAATAACATTTTTTTTCATGATTTTATTTTATTGACGATATAACTTGTTTTGCAACATATACATAGGTAAACTTGTCAATTTGAGTAGTTTTACTTATGTACTTATTACTTGATGTTTCCTGACGATTTTAGTCCGTTATAAATTTCGGGTTAAGATTTATTGGCGTTCTTTCTGAAGTTTCCTAGAATTCAGAATGTCTTGTCCCAACGATGATTCTGATTCTGAGCTGTCTCTGATACGAGACCTTTGTAACGTTCATGTGTACGATCATCTTGTTACCACCTGATTTTCTTCTCTTTGACCACCTGAGCTGATTTTAGTACAAACCTATGCCTAAAAATAGAATGTACCTAAACAATAATCTTTTTTTTTTATTGTTACAAAGTGCGTCTAGGAATATGTGCCTGAAGTGAATCTAAATTATAAAAGCATTCTAATAATTTAGTTCATGTTGCACTATATTTCCTAGAGAACTAAAGAAATAACAATAACTTACTTAGCTCTTCGTACAGTTCTGCTGCTTTTTATAAAACTTTTTGTGTATTTTCTCTCTGTATATGAGTGGGTTTCAAAATGGTGTTTAATTGATATTCGATACACTAAAAAACAATATTTTAACAAATATGTATTGTTTCAGATAAATCTGCGCCTGATTCTCGTCAGCGGCAAAACAAAAGAGTTTTTATTTAGCCCGAGTGATTCTGCTGGGGACATTGCACAACATGTTTTTGACAATTGGCCGGATGGTAAGTTTTAATTGTATTTATTATAACTGATAATTGGTATTACTGTACCTTTTTTTATTGTTTTATTCTATACCTTTGCACAAATTTCATCATTTAAGTTATACAAATTAAATCAAAATGTATGTCAAACGTTATGGCCTTGATGTAAGAATCAGAAAATGGCTAATATCCCATTCAACAATTTTTAATTTAATATATTGGAATTTAGTTTAGATTTGCGAAGGTGATTTTCAAATTTACGGAAACATACAGGTTGTCCAAAAACTACGTTTATAGAAAAGTAATATGTAAACCATTGTTTACCCATTGTTAACTACGAATATTAGAATTAACGGTCTTTATTTATTTGTCATCATTATGGCTTAACAATCCTGCGTAGGTCCTAGCCTCCGTAAAAATTTCTCTCCAGTAGTCCCTATCCATTGCCTTCCTCTGCCAAGCATGCGTCATATATATTTCTCATGTTTTTATCAATGTTATCAAGGAACATCTTAACCCAATATGACCCGAGTTATTTTTTTTTGATTTATTAAAAAAACTATATTTTTATTAAAAATGTATAATAATAGATAAATTAAACAATTTTTAACCCACAAACTTATTCTTCTTCTTCTTCTTTTGGCATCATAACCCTGGATGGGTCTTTGCCTGTCTGGCTATGTCCTTCCATTCAAATCTCTCGTGTGCGCTTCTTCTCCATTGTCTTATGTTCATTTTTTTCGCCTTCCTATGGGCTTCCATTGTAACATTTTCTTTGTTGTTTTTGCATCGTTTTGTCTCTGCACATGTCCAAGCCATGACAGTCTTTGACTTTTCACAAATCTTACAATGTCATAACCTTCATTTAACTCATTAACCTCGTCGTTTCTCCTGATTCTCCATGTGCCATCTTCCTCTTGTACCGGGCCATATACTTTCCTCAGTATTTTTCTCTCGAATGTCCTGAGTTGGGCTTCATCTTTTTTCATCATTACCCAAGTTTCACATCCATAGGTTAGTTACTACGGGTCTAATCAGTGTTCTGTAGATAGTAATTTTGGTTCTTTTGTCTAATAATCGTACGTCTCCGCCGTATAATATATTGTCTCGTTCTGATCATTTTCGTTGTCTGCATTTAGATTTTCTTCGAAATATTGTTTCCATCTCATTATAATTTTTTCTTCTCTGTTAGTAGTTCTCCGTCCTTGTCTTTGCATATCGTTAGTTTTGGGTCTAAATGACTGTGTTCTTTCTTTTATGCATTTATAGAATTTTCTGCTTTGTATCTGTTGTTATGCTTTACGATTTCTTGTACTTGTTTTTTCATAGCCTCTCTTTTCTTTCTTCTGCATATTCTAGTCGCTTGTATTCTTTTTTCGTTATAAATCTCACTGCTATTTCTTGTGTTTCTTTGAAGTTGGTTAAGCCTAGCTTGCCTTTTTTCCTCTACTGCAGTTCTGCATTCATCATCATACCATTCCGCATTTCTTTGCCTTTTGGCTTTTCCGACAGTTTCCTCTGCTGACTCCGTTATAATTGTTTTTAATTGTCTCCATTCCTCCTCTGCAGTATCTTCCTCTCTAGTTCGGTTGAGTTTTATTTGGAGAGCATTTCTGTAATCTTGTCTCTTTGTTGCGCTTTTGAATCCTTCGACATTCCATTTTTTGATTTGAATATTTTTCCCTTTTGCTACTGTCGCTATTTTCTGCCGTAATTTTGCCCCTACAAGATAGTGATCTGAGTCAGAGTTCGCCCCGCGATACGTTCTGACATTAGTTATGTCTGTTGCCCATCTTTTTGAGATGAGTATATGGTCAATTTGATTGGCTTCGTTAGTTCCTGGTATTTTCCATGTTCCTTTATGGATATCTTTTCTCTGGAAGTTAGTACTGACAACTACGTAATTATTTGCTGCTGCGAACTGTGCCACCCTGAGTCCATTTTGACTGGTTTCAGTGTGCAAACTGTGTTTCCCAAATATATTTGCAAACGTTTCTTCTTTCCCCAGTTTAGCATTAAAATCGCCTAACGTTATAACAGCATCGTGTCTTTGGATTTTATCACATACATCCTGTAGTTCTCCGTAGAATCTTTCAACGTCTTCTTCATCAGCCTCTTCCGTCGGTGCATATACATTAACCATTGTCACGTTATGAAATTTACCTTTAAATCTTATGGTGCAAATTCTATCTGATATTGGTGTAAATGCGATAATGGCTTTCCGCAGTTTTTTGGTTACCATAAACCCTACTCCTCTTTCACCTTGTCTCATTTCATTTCCGGAGTAGTATAGTGAGAATTTATTCTTATGAATTTCTCCCTGGCTCTTCCATCTGATTTCCTGCAGTGCCAATATTTCAACTCCGTATTTTTCAAGTTCTTCTGCCATACTTATCATAGCTCCTGCCTTTAAGAAGGTTCGCACGTTCCAGGTTCCAAATTTTAAATCCATAATCATGTCCATTTTTCTGTGCTGAGTTCGTCGTTGTGAGATCCGTCCGTTTGTTTCATTAGCCATTGTATTCGCAACAATTGAGTTCTACAAGGAAGGGTTGTTAACCCTTCGCTCAACCCCCTTTTCATCGGAGGACCAAGGCTCCCTTCTTCGTCTGCCCTGACCCCACCATCCACTGGGGTTGGTTACCCAGTCTCCAGTGGGGTTGCTCAGGTTACCGGTGTGTACCAGCTTGGAGGTGAAGATAGGAATTGAGTAGGAGAGGCTAAGTGATGCCAACAGGATACGACATCATGTATTGCGCTTCACTACCCCTTTACACACCAACCCACAAACTTATTAACTAACAAAAAATATGTGTTACATAAATGTAAGGTCATAAGCTACTCAAACAAAGTATTTTATAAATTTTCAAACAAAACAACAAATAAGCATTATTTAACAGTGTTATTGTAAAAATATGCATTTTACTATAAAAATAAGATTGTTGTAACACTTACTCGAAACGAATGTTATGCTCCATGATACTTGCTAAATGATATCTGATTCAGACTACAGTTACAACGTAACATAAAAGTAACACTAGGTCATAATGGGTTAAGGGTCTATCAAAGAGCGTTTTTTAGCTCGGTCAATTTGTTCCATTCGCATTGCATGCCCTATCCACCTCATAAGTCCTATCTTATGTTGTTTAATATGTTCTAAAATATGTTTTACGATATCTGGTTTCTGATATATTCTATAAAGTTCGAAGTTGTATCATCTTCTCCACACTCTATTGTAATTCACCGTTCCATAGATTGGCCTTAGTACTTTTCTTTAGAAACATCCTAACATGTTTTCATTACTTTTGGTTAAAGTCCAGATCTTTGTCCCATAAGTTAGGACTGGACGTATTATTGTTTTGTATTTTTCGATATAATTGATGATTTAAAAACGAGATTGAGCCCAAAATAGCATCTGTTGGACGTGTCAATTCTCGGTTTATCTCATCTCTGCGGTAGTATTATTTTCAGTGTTAAGGTGTCAAGGATTTGCACTGATTTATTATATATATTAAACCGGTGGTTTGTGATATACTTATTACCTTTTCCAGATCCAGATTGAACAGCATACAGGGGAGAGAGTGTCCCTGGCGCAGCCTATTATATTTATTTTAAAATGTCCAGATAGTTCCTCCTGGAATTGTACTCTACATTTAACTTTTTTAAGAGTTAATCTTGTTAAATTTACCAACTGATTTAATATTCCTGCCTCTTTTATTACTTTGATTCTCTTCTATTTACCGAGTCGTATTCTGCTTTGCAGTTTATAAATATGTAATGAGTATCTAAGCCTGGATTTATTACCCTTACTTATCTTGGTCCACGATCTTATTGTTCTTTTGTAATCAGCAGACTCGATTGCAGCCTTGAACCTTATACTAAGTATTATTAACACAAAAATAATTAAAAATAGAGGAGGACAAGATGTAGGTTATGGATGTAAATTAAGGAAAAGAAGAATTGGAATGGAAGAAAAGTTCAAATAGCAGTACAAATAATAAGAATAAAGTTCCAGGTTCAGATGATTTCCTTATCGAATTAATTAAACACATGAACATACAGACTGCTTTGTAAAATTTTTAACAAATGTCTTAAAAGGGGAAATGATTGCCAGTGATTGGAGGACTTCTTATATAACATTTATCTATAACAAGGGGAACAGAAGTAACTGTAGTAATTATTGAGAAATTATCATTTCATCATTTATTAAAAAACGCTATCAAAACATCTTAAAAGCCCAAATTGATTAGATAATGACGTATGTTGAAGGATAATTATATATTTCGATGTCAACGATCGATGTCAACGCATTAGTTTAACTAAATTATTTAACTCAAAAACTCACTTAATTACAAATATCACAATTACTAATTACATTAATAATTCTCACTTAGAAAACAATTCGCACTGATTACGTAAAATCTCTATATAAAATAAATCACTCATCACACAACATACTTTTTCTTTAACTCTTTCTTAAAATTATACATCGCAGAATATACAAGCTATGCGAAGAGAGAACACAAGACACACTGTTTGGATTCATGAAAGACGTAGGTACGGGAGATGCACTGTTTCGTTTAGTCTACAGGTATTATTCCAAAGATGCAGAGATATAACTTGCGATATCTACACCTGCTTTGTGGACTACCAAAAAGCATTTGACAAAGTTCAACACCGAAAAATTATGGATGTTCTGACAAAAGCCAAATAGATGATAAATACCGGAATATAATACAAAATTTATACTGGAACCAATCAGCCGCAATGAGAACAAATCTTGGAGATGAATCGACTGAAGCGATCCAAATTCTGCGAGGCGTTAGACAAGGATGTATACTTTCACCTATATTATTCAACCTATATTCAGAGGAAATATTTAGTGAAGCCTTGGAAAATTGCGTACATGGAATACTTTTAAATGGAGAACTCCTAAACAACATCCGCTATGCAGAAGACACCGTTATTTTTGCAGATAGTTTAAACAGTTTACAGCAACTAATAAACGAAGTAAATGAAAT